AACATTAAAGATAATCACTAGAAAATATACAAGCTACAAAACCACCGTATTTTTTGGATATATAAACCGGATATTTTTTTTTTTTGTTATATGGCCTTATAACAATTATATTCAACAATTTTATTGAGCTTGAGGCCTTCCTTTTATCAAACAAACCGTTTCTTTTTATTTCATACAAATCTTGACTCCTCAATAGAAGTTTTGAATTTTTCAAAGTTTTATAGCTTAAGGAAACCCCCTAAATTGCTTTAAAATCCTATCCTAGATAATTTGGAGATGAATGATTCCAATAAATGATGTTTGACGCCTAATTGTTTTCTTCGTGTATGACCGAGCTCCTCCTCCAATTGGTGTTCTGCCCTTTTAAATATGGCAGAAGTACACTCAGAGACTTTTGTTGAGTGACAGTAGGAACATATAAGTACTAGGCTACGGCGTAAAGGGCACTACTCAAAACCGAAAAAATTCAATATTAAAGAAAAAGTTTAAATAAGACCAAATGTGAATTTCTCTGGGATTCTTATTTCTTCTACTTTTGGTCTAAAAAAGAAACGTTGAACTTATTTTGCTCCTCTCTTTTCTAAATAAAAGCTATCTTTACCGTCACTAGTTTTATTGTAATTTTAGGTCACGACTTGATACCATTTTCACTTTTATGAAAACTATGTAAAATAAAACCGGTTTGTCCGGTTTTTTCTTGATTTCAAAATCGGTAGCCGTTTTTTTTTTGTTCAAATTGCCATCTTTCGAATAACTCGAAACCCGGTTTTTAAAAAAAGTCGAACAATAGAACACCATAGTGTGCGTACAAATGTTTTTAAAAAACATTCAAACTTTGCAAACAGTACCTAAGCCCCCAATGTTTTTGTTTGTGAATTTTTGTTTTTAAAGCTTTGTGTAAAATAATCTTATTGCCAGTTTTTCTTACTTAACAATCGTGTATTTTGTAAAATTTACAGGGAAGAGCGAAAAAAAAATTTATAATTTGCAGACAAGTGAAATTTGGGTTTGAAAAAGGGTATATAAAGCCGAATTGGCTACCATTTGAATCATTCAAATTCCAGTTTTAAAATGGCAAAGTTATTTGCTTTCTTCTGCCTTGTACTGTACGCTTCGATAATGCTGAGTGTAGATGGTAAGTAATTTCATTTTAAAAGATCATAACAGCTAATTTTACCTATTTCAAATTCATGCAGCGAGAATTATTCCACCGTATCTTCCTCCACCTTTTTATGACGGCAAGTACCGTTAAGAGGCAAGGGTTAACTTCATAATTTTGTATGCCAGTACAATAGTGCATAAATCGAATAGACCACAATTTATGTACGTACATACATATGTACTTTGTTATAAAAAATAAAGACCTAAAATTGAAAACCCTAAACATTTGTATACATTTTCAAGGAATTTGATTTATAAATACTACATACATGGGGTCGATTTTACATATATGGAGGAAAAGACTATAGTAATTGGCCACAAAAGGTTAAAATAACCCGGGCAATTGATTGAAAGTATCAACATTTTTGAAAAGGTAACGTTAGTTGCTTCTATCCAGGGAACACGTTAAAATTTATAGAGTCAAGCGCCGTTTTCTGAACGAGCTTTTAAAATGTATTTTCACTTCTATCCCATTTTTTCAGAAAGAGTTGTGTATTTGAGGGCAGCTAAATTAGTATTCCACGTTCGTATTTACATATATACATTTTTTATAAGGCTCCAAGTTGTCGATATATTTATTAAGAGCATACAAAAAATAATATTTTTCATGCGTTAAAATTTGCATTATCTCTACCTAAATTGTTCTACGGTGTTTACGTTGAATGAAGGCAATGCGACTTATTCGGAATTAGGTATCGTTTGATGGTGAAAACGCGTACTTACATTCACTACAAAAAAATAAGGGAAGGCATGTCTATGTTAAAAAAAAAATATAATAATATTTGACGTTAGAACTTTTGCTAAGTGGTTGGCCGAACTTCTCCTCCAATTTTTGGTGTGCGTCCTGATGTTATGTATAACAGAAGTGCAGGGACCTACAATTTTGTGCCGCCTCCGAACGGCAAATGCATTTTTATGATAAGCCTTTTAAAGGCAGAAATACTCTCGTAGGTTTGCCATTACCTATCGAGAAGCAACCGCGAGAAAAAAATAAAATAAAAAAGTATTTTAGTGAAATTAAAATTTTTTTCTTAAAAGTCCTCTTTACGTAGAATGCGTAGACATATTTTCTATCTATATTATTAAACATAACATCTGTGTAAATGTCCCGCACGTGTAGAAGTATGCTGCGGCAACGTTCATCAAGAACTTGCTGTCAAGTTGAATACTCTCACACCAGCTCTGATCCAATACTTTTCGTGCAAAATCCTGTAAAAACGTCAAACAGCAAAATTACTCTGAAGTGAGAGTAAAAAGTAACAACAAAAAGTACGGGAACAACAAAAGCATTTTTCCTGTAAAAATGTCAGTGACGCTTTCCATGATTTTACCAGAAGAAAAAGTTCTCTCTCAAAAAAATCGCTCTCTTTTACAGGATTTGGGAGGAATTTTGAGTACGGGATCATTTTTCCTGTAACTTCCTGCAAGTTCGTGTAGCAACTTGTAAGTTCATGCAGAACTGGATCAGAGCTTATTTTTACTAACACAAACGCACTTTCACAACTTGAACGCCGATACAAATTTACCAAAGAACTACACATTTAAACCGGTATATTTCGAGAAAGGAAATTCGAGTCGTAACAAACGAGAATGAATTTTTAAGCGGATGAGTAGTACTAAATGATGCCAAAAACCTATAAATTTTAGTGAAGAAATAAATATACCATGGTGAAATTATACCAGGTGTAGTAATTAGAAAACAGATTTCACACTATCTTATTTGAAAACTTGCCTTTAAAATTTTAAATAATATAGCCGAATGTCAGGAAAATAAAACAAAAAGCTGTCTCATTACTTCACCTGTTTTTAATTTCTCCATGTAAATATACGAGCATTTTTTTCATGGGAGCTGTAAACTCCCTATCTATTAATTTGGCATTTCAGGGTACTATTTTATATATATATAAGGAAAATTTGAAAGTTAGGGGGGCTCGAGCACCCCCGCCCCTACCTGGCTACGCCCATGTGTATGGATATTATCATGACGAATGTGTAATATATTGAATCGACATCAGGTACCGAAAAGGAAGTATTGGGTACCGAAATTTGTTTTTAAGTATTGGGTACTAAGTATCGGGTACTGTCCACGATTTAAGGCCTGTATGCAGCTCTCAAGAAAAGCAAAAACTCCATATAAAATGACGTACAAGAAATGGCTAAGAAATTTTCTTGAGTCAAATTTCCTTAAGGCAGTACGCAGTTCTTAAGAAATTTACTACGCTTTCTACTACGGTTTTCTAAAGTTTTTTGTGAAAAAAGACCACAAGGCAACCCAGGTTTGCAACAGAAATATATGCCCGTTCCATTATTTCTTGAGGAAAGAGTGAGGCAACTGGCTGTGAAGTATCAAAAATGTCAAAATTCCTTGGACACTCCGCGAAATAATGGCAATTTTTTCTTGAGCATTTTCTTGAGAGCTGCATACAGGGCTTTAGCTTTAAATGATTTCATATATGTATACACATTTGATGTTGCCTTTTTTAAGATATTTGCCTTTTTTGCCTTTTCTAACATTCAATTGAAATGGGCAAGGAAAAATCCCTTATTCCTGATAATGTGAAAGTTTTAAACGTTCCATATTTAAATTGGGGCGCCACTTGTATCAACTCTCGTCAGTGCACGTTTAGTACATTGAAGGCTTTTCTTCGCGAAAATTGAATAAAAGTTCTGCCAGCGCAGTAAGTTTTCGCAGTTCTCCACCAATTGATCCCCGAAGAGTACTTTTGAGTTGTGTGCAGCGTTTTCGCTTTGCACGCGCGGCAACACTACTCTGGGGAATTCAGTGGTTACAAACTGGATATCTGAATATTGGAAAATAAATAGCAATTACTTTTTTTTTTAAATATAAGAATAGTGTTTGTTTACAAAACTACCTGTGCCACTCTGCCGTAGTACGTTGTTGCTCCCTTTCATACCACAGTAACTTTGTATGTAACTCCGAATCAGCAAAATTCATGCTCCCTTGCATTATCAACCCTGATCAGACTTTACCCCCGAGGAGTACTCAAAAAGGTTTATTAGTGTATATACTGGTTGCATTCCAGATGCTCACGATATTCACGATATTCACGATTTGCAGGTTTTTTTTTTACAGGAAAGCGTTCCAGGTGCCAAAAAACCTGCAAGTCAAACCACTTTTGTGAGAGCAACTTGCTCTGTCTCTCAGTCAGAAGTTGCAGGTTTTAGTCCGAAGTTTTTCTTCCTGCAAGTTCATGGAAAGTGTCAAACGATAGGCAGGGTTGCATTTGTAAACAAAAACAGATAGCAAAGAACATTAAGCGCCACGGAGACCATCAAATAAATACTTCTAGCATTGCAAATGTGTGTGATTGGCTCGTGTCTTGCCCGCAAACGTTCAAATAAACGCGTTAATGCAACAAACGATTTCTTTTTCTTGTCCGCGCACTTGCACACCGCGACGTTCAGAAGGCAAGTGCGCTTGTTTTTTGTCAAGCAAAGACAAGCGAGACGATTGATAAAGACATTTGATCGTCTCCATGGCGCTTAACATTAAAAAAAATGGAAGTAGTTGCAGGAAAAGTAGTTTCTCGGGTTCCAGGTGACTTTTATTTTTTCTCTCTTGCTCCTCTCTTTCAAGAGAGTAATTTTGTTATTTGACAGTTTTACAGGTTTTGACACGAAGTTATCTGGAACGCAACTACTGTGGTAAAAATGATACAATTGCATCAACAATTGGCACTATCGATATTTTCAGACTATCGTCTGCTGGTAGCGGATGTCAAAAATTTTTACAGTCACCCTGTTCTTCCGGTAGTGCGTTGTCAAAAATTTTTACAGTCATCCTGTACTTACGCTAGTGCATTGTCAAACGAACAGCTGATTGCTGATTTGACGTTTCCACTTATTAATTGTTTACGTTTCTTCTATCTCCCGTGCAACTATTTTATAATTTATCTGTTTTTTAATTTAAATACATTTCCCATTTTATTTTATTGACAAATTTTTGAATCTATTCCTCTGGAATACTGCAGAAATGCTAGAGTGTCTTTTGTATTTGTTGTTAATTTTTGTCGATGGGGGCTTCATCTTGGAGGCTACGGCGAAGTCGGATTCAGCTGCAGGTCGTGAAGAAGTATTCCTAGGGGAAACCCAGTGTGCCAATTTAAAACGTCACGAGATTGAACCGCATCTATCTACTAAAACCCCTTATCGTGTTGTTGCTAACTTAGACGATAAGCCCATCGCCTATCCAGGTGAGGATGACATCCGCGATATCAACAGGAGTTCCATAACGTTCAACGCTAAAAGCTATATGGCAGACCATTGTTATAGAAACAAGTGTATTTATTAATTCTCTGATAATTTACTTTTTAATGTCACATAGGGTGCCGCGCAACTCGTATTTGGTCAATAATACGACACGGTACGCGTAATCCCAGCAAAGAGCACATTGAAGGAGCAAAGCTGAAACTAGTGCGATTGAAGGAACAAATTCTTTTGAATCCTCAAACTAAGTTATGCCCTGAAGAATTGGCTCGGCTTCGTCTTTGGCATTTCAATGTAAGCAGTCAGGAAGAAAAATACCTTACCGCTGAAGGTGAGGAAGAACTAATTGCTTTGGCAGAGCGCATGCAGAAACGTTTTCCAGATTTGTTGCCCGAACAATACCATCCCAGTTTATATTATTTCAAATATACAAAGACGCAACGCACACTAAAAAGCGCACAGAGTTTTACTACAGGTCTTTTCGGAAGGCATGCCATCGGAGCTGTTGAGTATCCAGAAGCCTTGCATCAGGATCCAGTGCTAAGGGTAAGTAATAAAATATTTAATATATAACTGCCGAAATACATACAGTAAATTCAAGCTAAGATACATTAATATACACATCTGTGGACATTTGACAAAACGGGGAAACTTTCCGTTACGAGCGATCGTTGTGGGCGTAGTGGGCGGAGGGGGAGGAGGCGTCCGGAGGGTACCGCCAAGGGTATATAACATTTCTTGTGAATAAAGGAGAACACTAGAATCTAGAGGCTTCTGTTGAAAAAGTTCATTCTGCGTAGGCGGCCCTTGGCCGCTCTTAGGAATTATAATCCTTACTAAGTAGAATTCTCCTTTCTGTGTTGCCGAAAGAAAGGGCCGCAACACCTTTTGCACAGAACACAACACTTTTCTGTCTGGTCAAAAAATTCCTTGTCGTTTAAAGAATAAAGGGAATGCCGCATTATACTAAAGATCATGAGATATATACATCATCGTAGAGTTTCCTAAGCAAAAACACGGCAAGAAAAAGTGAACGTGATCCATCCCCTTTTGCTGAGTTTAATGGTAAATTTTTTTGGTGCAAATTAACAGCGGCGGCACTGGGCTAAACGTGGAATTTTCAACATTTTCAAAAGCTTATATTTCGAAAACTATTGAACCGATTTTCAAAATATGGACACAGTTGGAAAGGTGATTGGAGGAACTTTCATTCGATATATGTGTATGTATTTATGTATATAATGTTTACATATTTTGAGTTAAAGTAAAAAACGTAATTATGGCATTTTTTTATATGCATGTTTTGGTAAAAAAATACGTAACTATCTATAACTAAAGATATGTTTATCAGAAAGAGCCCGAAAATGTATTTAATATAAAAGTTTTTAAAAATGTTGAAAATTCCACGCTTAGCGCCGCCCCTGTTAAATTGCACCAAAAAAAATGAAATTTTTCTTTTCTGTTCTAGCTCAACGGCCCCCATTCTTTAGGTGTTCCAAAAACACTATCAGCTGATTGCCAAAAAATGCCTACAGCTAAGATCGCCTGTGTTTTGGCATTCGCTCTTTTACAATTTCTTTCATTTCTATTACAATTTTTTCAAAACACACTAACACACTGAACCAAAAAAACAGTACACTTACCAAAAACACACCTACAGCCTGTTAGAGATAACGGTAAGAAGGACAGTTACGGTACTTACGGAACTGTATGATGGTATACATATGCATGATTTAATAATTAAAGGTTTGCTCAGTAGTGCCTATTAAGCTCGTCGGCGATTTCAAGCATCCGTTGATGGTTACCCCAGCAACGAGTACATGTGTGAGTGTCGGGTTGAATGTC